TCATTAAGTAGTAGATAATAACAACAACAAACAATAACAAACAGAGACAGAGATTGGATTGGTGGTTATCAGAGGGGAAGGGGGGAGTGAGGAGTGTGAAAGGGATAATTAGACATGTGTGTGGTGATGGATTGTAATTAGTATTTGGGTGGCGAACATGAGAACATGATGTAATCCATGCAGAAATAGATTGCATCAATCTACTCTCACCCCATGACTACTTTGTGCCTGTAATTTGTCAAAAAACATTCTTTCCCCTTTTTTTTCTTTGCCTTTGTTAGCTATAGCTATAAAACCTTCCCTCTCCCTTCAGTGGCCTGAAAACTATTCCAGTGTTACTTGAATCTGTGTTCCTGGGCTGCGGTCCTACAAACCCCAAATAAACTTATTTTTGCTTAAAATCTATCAGAATCTACCTCATAATTGGTTGACATTCCCAAATTTGCTCCAGCCACAGCCCTACCTATCTCAATGGATGCAATTCCATTCTTTCAGTTGTTCAGGCTGCAAACCCTGAAGTCATGCTTGTTTCCTCTCTTTCTGTCACAGCCATATCCTGGCTGACAACAAATCCTCTTTGGTCTACCTTCAAAATATAGCCAAACTGACCACTTCTCAACCTTTACACTACTGTTCCCACCAGTAATGGTCCTAGCTACCTATATCTCACCTGGCTTGCTACAGTCAGCTCCAAGCAGGCTTCCTCACACCCTACAATCCATTCTCAACACAGAAGCCAGAATGATCTTTTAAAATTCTTATCATGTCATGTGGCTGCTCAAAACCCTACAATGACTCCCCACATCACTCAGAGTGAATGAAAGCAAAGTCCTTCAGTGGCAGGGAAAGCTTCACAAGATCAGCTCCTGATACCTGTCCTCCTCTTCTACTGTGCTTCCTCTCACTCTGTGCTCCAGCCACATTCTCCCCAGGCCACCTCTCACCTCAGAGTCTTTGTATTAACCTTATTCTCTGCCTGGGGCACTCTTTCCCCAGATAGTCTCACCTAAGTCATTTTCTGCCTTCGCAAATGCAACTTTCTCAATGAGTTTACTTAGACTCCACTTTATTACATGACGACCTGCCTTCCCACACTCCTGATCCTCTTTATCCTCCAGAGTTGAGCCTAAAATAATAACTGATGCATAGTAAATACTTAGTAAAAATACATTTGGTAAATTGAATAAACAAATGTGGTTCTGAAGGGGCTGACAGTGACAATGTCTTCTGACCACAGTTGATTGGTCCCAGGTGGAAAGAGGACATGATTGTGTCAATAAGAATACTTTTCGGAGATTTTTTTTTACGCGCTGAAATAAAACAAGTTCCTCTTTTGAAGTGAAGCTACCAGGTTATGAGTTGTGAGAGCTGCTGGCTCCTGTGTCTGTTTCCATGTGGGGGTAGCCAGTCTGAGAAAATAAAGCTGATAATCTGATTTGAAATTTTCCTAGTGTTTGAGCCCCTGTTTCCGGTGTCCAGCCGAGCGTCTGCTCAGCTATGATCAGATGAATCAGGACATTCTCTTCTATCTCTTGCCAACAAAGCAGACCTGTCTGGTATAGCCTTATCTTTACATGACCCAGGACCATGTGAAGATCAAGCCCAATGAAAATCAACAAGGAATGGCATGACAGACCCTCAGTCTTCTCAGTTCAAGACCTTACTGATCAATTGTTGGTAAATTCTCACTCACACACATCTCTCATGGTAGGCTGAATAATAGACTCCCAAAGATGTCCGTGTGCTAATCTCCAGAATCTGTGACTATGTTATGATAGATGGAAAAAAGCACTTTGCAGATGTGATTAAGTTAAGGATAGTGAGGTGGAAAAATTTTCCAGAATTATCTGGGTCATCTTAATGTAATCACAAGTGTCCTTAGAAGAAGAAAAGTAGGTATATATAGAGAGGAAGATGCTCTCTATACTTTGACTTTGAAGATGGAGGAAGGGGCCATGAGCCAATGGTGCAGCGGGGCTCTATAATTTGGAAAAGGTAAGGAAGCAAATTCTCCTCTACAGCCTCCAGAAGGAAATCAGCCCTTCTTATACATTTTAGACTTCTGACCTCCAGAATTGTAAGGTAATAAATTTGTGTCATTTTTAGCCACTGGAGTTATGGTAATTTTTTACAGTGGAAATAGGAAACTAATATATCATACAAAATCTACCCATCTCATTGCCACTGGCTTAGGTCAGATCTCCATCATCTTTCTCCTGGACTGTTTCCACAGCCTCCTAACTGTTCCCTCTGCCTCCAATTTCTCCCACTCAGGGCAATCCTAAAGTTGTCATTTTATATATACAATTTCAACATGGCTCTGGTTCTCAATTGCTTATAAAATCCTCCATACGTCAAGCTAGACTCTCAATGGTCTGTGTTCCATCTGCATACTCAACCTTATTTCTAATATCTCAGCCATAATTCCATATATCTTCCTGATATTCCTCACTCTTGAATGTCTCTTGAATGTCAACCAAACCTACTCTCTACTTAAATTTCTACTCATTATTTGTTATTCAACATTCAAGCATATTCTCTTTTTAGAAGTTTTTCCTGAATGAAAAGTGTTGGCAAAGACGTAGTAAAACTGGAAACTTCATGCATTGCTGGTGGTAATGTAAAATGGTGCAGCCACTTTGGGAAATAGTTTGGCAGTTTTCTTAAAAAGTTAAGCATAAATTTACCATATAACCCAGTAATTGCATTCCAAGGTATCTACCCAAGAGAAATGAAAATTCATGTCAACACAGAGACACAACGTTCCTAGCAGCATTATTCATAATAATCTCAAACTGGAAATATCCAGATGTCCATCAACTGGTATCTGGACAAGCAAAATGTGGTATATACATACAATAGAGTAAAATTCTGTAATTAAAAGGAACAAAATATTGATACATATTTCCACATGGATAAGCCTCTAAAACATTGGTAAGTAGAAGAAGATCAATATAAAAGATCATATACTGTATGAATCTATTTATAAAAAATATCTAGAAAAGGCAAATTTATAGAGAGAGAAAGCGATGAGTGGTTTCCTAGAGCTGAAGTGGGTGTGACAATTAACTACAACTGGACACAAGGGTACTTTTAGAGGTGATAGTTATATTCTAAAACTGGATTGTGGTATTGTTCACGTAATTCTATACATTTACTAAAATCGTTGAATTTACATTATCATGGGTGAATTTCATGTATGTAAATTACACCTTAATAAAAATATTAAAAAATAAATGTTTAAAGAGTTTTTTCTGGAACTACTCAAGGCAAGTTGAAAAGTTTACCATTGTTTTCCACAAGATCTACTACACACCAGTATGATTATGCTCACCCCTCTATATTGGGGTCATTTGCAACTCGTTGGTCCCCTCCTCAATTTATACACATTAGACAATAAATGTACATTGGATTAAACTTAATGGAATCAAAGTGAATTGAAGCCATGTCAAATACATCTTTCACCTGCAAAAAATTATGCATTTAGATAATTTTGCAGTCCTTACAATGTCCCGAATAATTAGTTTCTTTTTTTCTCTCAAAATCCCTAAATCCTTTCATGATATTGTCTTGATACATCACAGTCTTATCACCTGTGTTAGTTTTGTTTCCCACAGAAGTAGACATTGAACCAAGGATTCATGTAGAAGCCCTTTGTTGGAAGAAGAAAGAAACATGGATGGGAGAGAGAAGTAGGAATGCAAGGAAGAAGATACATCCAATAAATCTTGCAGTAAGTCAGCTACCACTCTAAGCAGAATTTTCATTTTGTCGGGAAATTCTGGAAAATGGTAAAAAATCCAAACCTCAGAAGTATCCTAATTAAAGAGTAAATGAGAAGGTATACTTCACACCTCTCCCTCAAGGGCTCTCTCTGATAACGTATTGCCCCTGTGTATTGGACAAAGTAGGTTCCAGCTAGTGCTGTCCATTCAGCCATGCAATGGAGGTGGTGAGAGGATCCCAGAGAATGTGGGAAGAATTCTGACAGCATCTACTACTCCATCCTTCACTGTAGAATCAATTCTATCAACATTCCTCTCAAAAGGTGAGCAAAATTTTGAACACATTCCACATGTGTATAACTATGTTTCCTGATGATACCTCCAGAGAGTCTCAGAAAAAAAATTAAACCATGTAAAATAAACACCTCTGATTCTATTGTATTCATTATTAAATGTTTTAGGATCTTAGAGGGTGTATCTCTAAATTGCAATTATGGGAAATAAAGGTCAAATAAAAGAAGGAATCAAAGGAAGGAGGAAAGGAAGAAAAGGAGGGATGGAAGGAAGGAAGGAAGGATCACAAAGAATAAAGTATCATCTCAGTTATGCTAGGTGGTATATTACTATGAATCATCTGAAGAAATAAGTTTCCAAGTATACATTCCTACTCTGAAGTTGAAAATCACATCACTGTCCTTATTAAATGTAGGATAGCAAAGTCAGTGTCAGCTAGCAAGGTTAGAGTCCAACTCAATCTCAATCTCTCCTTTGAACAGTGGGGTGAAGGAGGGAAAATATCTTAAAGATTTGTTTTGGGGATGAAATAAAGTCATACGTGTGAAGAAATAAGCACAGTTCTCATTGATAAGCATTTTGTTGTGATGACTGTATGATTATCATTTGATTTATTCTGGAGAAAACAAGCACACAACCAAATGGAGACAAAGAACATCAATGTTTGACAGGATAATTTGGGGGGAAACCACATCAGCACTTGAATTGAAAAATGTTTTAAATATAAAGTTAGAAATCTTAAGATTGGCTGTATGAAAGCTTACCAAACATGAATCTTTATGGACAGCATAAACAAGAACAGTCAAAAAGGAATTACTGAGGTGGTTGTTGAGGAGACACTAATACAAAGTGAAGTCATGGGCATTTTGGGAATTGAAGAAATCAAGCATGTCTTTTATGGAAGAAAAAGAATCAAAAGACTAAATTCACAATATTTGCCTTTGGGGCCCACAATGTCCACTTAGTTCTGAGGTCAGTGGCTCATCGTGGACAAGAGGCTGCTAAGCTGAAGATCCTTCCCAGGGCTCCCTTCACATCATTGTTCCTCAGGGTGTAGATGAAGGGGTTCAGCATCGGGGTGACCACAGTGTACATCACTGAGGCAATCGAGCTTCTCTGGGAAGAATGAGTCTCGGTAGAACTGAGGTAGATCCCCAGGCTTGTCCCATAGAACAAGAAGACTGCAGAGAGGTGAGACCCACAGGTGGAAAATGCTTTATATTTTCCTCCTGCAGAAGACATCCTCATTAAGGAGGAGACAATCTGAGAGTAAGAAAAGAGGATCCCAGTGAGAGGAAACACACCCAGAAGGGCAGTGGCCACATACAAGAGGATGTTATTGATGAGGGTGTCAGAGCAGGCCACCTTGAGAACCTGAGCCAGTTCACAGAAGAAATGTGGAATTTCAGTGCCTACACAGAAAGTCAGCTGCCACAACAGTAGAATATGAAGCAAGGAGACCCAGAAAATGATGAACCAAGACGTCAGAACCAGGAGGCCACAGAGACGTGGGTTCATAATGACCATGTAGTGCAGAGGGTGGCAGATGGCCACAAACCGGTCATAGGCCATCACAGTCAGAAGGAAATTGTCCATTCCAGAAAAAATTATAAAAAAATACACCTGGGTGAGACATCCTATGTAGGAGATGTCTTTACTCTGTTCCTGGATGTTCACTAGCATCTTCGGGATGGTGGTGGAGATGAAGCAGATGTCTACAAAGGACAGGTTAGCGAGGAAGAAATACATGGGGGTGTGGAGGTGGGAGTTAGAGCTGATGGCCAGGATAATGAGCAGGTTCCCAAGCACGGTGACCAGGTACATGGACAGGAACACTCCAAAGAACAGGGGCTGCAGTTCAGGATCCTCTGAGAGACCCAGGAGGAGGAATTCTGATACTTCTGTGTGGTTTCCTGCTTCCATGTAGCTGGTGTGTCTGCTGGAGAAGGAGGCAAAAACAGTGTTTAGTGCACATCCAACTGGCACCTGAGCTAGTCAGCAACTATTGATTCCACCTTTAGGTGAACAAACTTCAACCTCTGTTGAGCCTTTACAATGACGGTGATTCACTCAGTCAAGTGATAGCCAATTTCCATTTTAAATGTAATTTTTTAGCCATTTTAAAATTTAGTGGACATCTCTTTTATGTCCTTCTCACTGGTTCTAATTCTATTTGAGGCTATGAACATAAACCAATTTTTCTTTTATATGACTCTTCTGAAATAATTGAAGACATTTAATGGCTTTACTATGATAATCTCCATACTTCCTTCATTCAAATAGCTCTATCACAGTTAGTAAGATGTAGATCCTCAACTCAAAAGCTTAATTCTATGACTTGATACTTCCTATTGAGGTCATAGTTAACACTCAAGTGCCTTATATTTTTATTTCTAAAAATGTGGTTATTACTTTTACATTGTTTGTGAGGTTTAGAAATGGCTTTGTGCACAGTAGGATCTCAATAAGTGATAGCTGTTACTATCATTGTTAATCTGTTCCTTTTATGACAATTAGTTTTGATATGTAACTCACCCAAGGTACAGTATAGTGATGTGATTTAGAAAATGGGATCTTGAGTCAGAGTTCCTACATTAGAATTTATCTCCCCCAACTTACAATTTGTGTGACCTTGACAAATTTATTTAACTCTCTTAGCTGCAGATACCTCACCTCTACCATGGGTGTGGTAAATATCCCCTACATTGTTAAGACTAAGGAGTGAATTACATGAGATGATGCATGTAATTTTTCTTGTGATTCCTGTGACATACAGTGGACACTTGGTAAATGTCAGCTTCTGTTCTTAACATCACAATAAATCTGTCTTGCATGGTTATCACTTATTAAATTTCCCTTAAACTGGAGCAGTCATAAAGGATGGAATTCTGATTTTTATAAACACAACCAGTCTGTCACCTCACCTCAGTTGACCGCAATGCAGCACTTCTAAGAAATGAAGATCTCTGTGACTTCCTCTTCCAGAGACTGCCTGCCAGGTGGATTCTCCTAAAAAGATGGAAAAGCATGTGAGTTACAAAGATAATAGGAGGGGAAAAAAATCACAAAACCTTTAAAATAACATACAAGATATGTTCAAAAGTGTGTGCTAATAGGTACATGCTCAAAAGTGGGGATGTGTTGTATTAATCAGAGCAGTTAATGGTAAAAGAATGATAGATTTGATGAAAATGTAAAACATTTGTATGAATCAAATCATCCTTAAAAAAATCAAAGGGAAATTAAGATGCAAATAAATGTTTATATTTCCATGATAGAAAAAATTCGGTGTTATTAATGCCTACAGATTGCAATTAATTGGAGAAAAAATCACTGAAGACCAATTTAGTCTGGGGAGGTTGGTAGAAATGGCCTCTTTAAAATATGCATTTTTTAACTGTCAGAGGAGTGATGAGTTATTGTTAACCAGGGGAAATAAAAAGAAGGGCAAGCATTTTGGGCTGAGGGATCAGAAGTCATGGTTGCCCTTTTGGTCAGTGAGCTTGGGAATGGAAGGCATTTGAGAGGCCAGTGAGATGGAGAAAGGAGAGTGAGGGTCAGGAGGACAGAGTGGGTGAGGCCCACAAGTCCAGTATCCTGTACTGTTCCTTGATGTGCCTCTCACATTGGTAATTTTATATTTATTTGTGGGTCAGATGACCTGGGTGTTTTTGCTCACCATTGTCTTCCCAGGGACTTACATGGTGCCTGGCACATAGTAGGTGCTCAACACACACAAGTGTTAGATGTATAATAAATATTGAGACCCAAAGCATCAACTATAACACAAAAATCTTCAAACTCACTTCCTGAATATAGACACAAAATTGAATATTTAACTTAAATCAAATGGATACATATCTATTTTAAGAGAATAATACATCATGAATAAGTAATACCTATTCTAGGAATGGATGGCTTATTTAATACTGTGATGTTTATTAACATAATTCATCACAAAAAATAGGTCAATGAAGAGAAATCATAGCCGTAGTCACATTAGAAAAAGCATTTGAGAAAATGTAACAGTCATTACTGTGGTTAGAAGCCCCGACAGACTTTAAAATATATATGGTATGTTACTATTGTCCTGTCTTTTATATGTCCCAGCTTTATTTTCTTTTAGCTCCATTTATCATATGTCCTCTTTCTACAACAGTATTATTGTATTTGCCTCTCCAGGAAATGTCCTCCTATGTCAAAACCAGTTTAAGACGTATCTTTTCATAAATACTTTGCACCTAAGTTTATTGTTTTGCACAAACCTATGGTAAAACTACTTTTTTTTTTTCACTGGGAAAGGATTTTAGTCAACAAATGAAACACTATCTCTAAGCAACATCTTTACATTTTTAATATTTGTTTTTATTTTACTCTCTGCACCCTATGAGCATTCAATAAATACTTAATTTACATATTTTGTAACCCTTTAAAACTAAATAAACTTGTAATAAATGTTTCTGAATATAGATTTGCCTATAATTTATTTTGCAATATAATGCTACGTAATTAAATGTGACTAAATAAGTTAATTTAAAATTTCTTCTGAATTACAACTTGTATCCATCCAATACAGTGTGGAGAGGTCACCTGCCAATGCCCATTCTATAACCAAAATACAAAATATTGGCATATCACTGAGTAGTTCAAATGTTATTTACTCCCTTATTTGTGATCCCTTCTGGTACATCCTGGTTTATCTTCAAGAACTTTAGGTCTTTAACATGCAAAACACAAAGATTGTAGGATCTGAATTTATGTTGCTTAAATATTATTTTTTTGCAAATCTAATTATTACTCCCCCCATCACCACCAACCCTAACTTGAAATTCTCCATTAACTTCCCAATGCGTAAAGTAAAGACCAAAATTCTTTAAAAGGCCAAGAAGCCCAGCATGGTCTTACCCCTGTCTCTCCACCGTCATTTCACACGCTCTTCCCACTCACTTGGCCCTCCTGCCAGCCTGGTCTTCTTGTTTTCTTTTGGTTCCTAGAACACACCCTATTACCCTGCCATAGGGACCTTTTACAGGCTGATCCTCGGCTGCCGGGAACGTTACCCTCCACTAGGCCCTTCATCTGGTTGACTGACTCCGCTGTCACAGCTGAGTCAATGCTTCCTGAAGAGGTCACTCCTCCTCTTACATACTTTCATAACACCAAGTTCTTCTGTTTTAATACTTATCAAAGTTTTAATTTTACATTTACTTGTACAATTCATTAATGTTGGTTTCCCCCACCAACTATATGCTCCTTGAGGGCTTTCATGAGAAAGAATTCAGAGCAGGGGACAGGGTAGGAAAATGGAGAGAGGCCCCCTTAGTGGTGCAAGCATACAGGCCTGATGGGTGTTTGATGGTCAGCTGCTACTGGGTGACAGGCGGGAAACTCTGCCTACTTGCCTGGACACATGGGACTCAGACAAAGATCCACTGCTAATAGGGGAGGGGTAGTTACAAAATCCATCAGCCACCAGAGAGGGACAAGAAATCCTCTTGAGCCCAAGAATACAATACAAATAGCAACACAAAGCAGAGGTCTGCTACTGCTGGGTAGGAACAGAAAACTCCCCGAAACAAGACCAAACAGAGATACAAGGTAGCATTTGACTGTCACAGGGAGAAGGCAAGAGCGCTAAAAAAAAACCCTAAAAAAAAACCACACTGCCAGGCCCATGCTCACAGTTCTGCCTAAGTCTGAGAGGCTGGACAGAAAGAACCAAGAACATCTTCCTGCCCCCACCACAAACTTATCATAAGTAACAAAAACCTGCGGTCTATTGCTGGGGCAGGGGCAAGAACATAGAGAGGGAGAGAGACCCCTGTTCTGTAGTACAGTCCTGAAGGGACTACTGAAAACACAGGCTGGAGCAGGAGCACTGGGAATAATTCCGCAGCACCCCAGACACAATACCACGCACAAAGCAACAGCAGCCCACCTTTGGAGCTTGTGGTTCACTGAAGGTAATTATAGCAACAATAAAGCCCCAAACCAGTTCAACTCTTGAATAGATTAACTAAAGCCCCCATAATAACAGTCGGAAAGAGAAGAGGCCAACCCATTTCCAGGTGTAAATACAGTTGTGTGCCACACAACGATGCTTCAGTCAATGATGGACCACATATACAAAGGTGGTCCTGTAAGATTAGTACCACATAGCCTAGGTGTGTAGTTGGCTATACCACTAGGTTTGTGTAAGTATACTCTATGATGTTCACACAATGATGAAATTGCCTCATAACGCATTTCTCAGAACGTATTCCTGTCGTTGAGCGATGCATGACTGTTCTATGTTCTTCATTCTCTACTAGTCTTCAACTCCAGTAGCTGGTATATAATAAAAAGTTATAAGGCACACAAAAAGCAAGGGAAAACAAACAAACAAACAAATAATCTATTGTTAAGAGATAAAGCAATCTCAGAACCAGAGTCAGAGATGACTAGTTGTTGGAATAATCAAATAGGGACTTTAAAATAGCTATAACTAATAAGGTAAAGAATCTAGTGGAAAAGGTGGGCAACATGCATGAGCAATGGGAAATTTCAACAGAAAAACTATAAAAAAGAGTAAAATGGAAATTCTAGAAATAAAAGACATAATATCAGCTGAAGAATTTCCTCAACAGATTCATCAGCAGACTGACTGACACAGCTGAGGAAAGAACTAGTAACCTTGAAATTAAAGCATTTGAAATTGTCCAAAATGAAACATAAAGAGAAAAAAAGAGTGGAAAAAAGAAAACAGATCATGTGAGAGCTGTGAGACAGTATCAAAACGTCTAATACACATGTAGTTGGAGTCTCAGAAGGAGAAAAGAGAGAGAACACGACAAAGACATATTTGAAGAGATAATTTTTCAAAATAAATAATAGATTACAAACCAAACAGATTCAACAAGCTCAGAGAATCTCAAGAAGGAGATATTTAAAACAT